AATAAAAAAATTAAAAAAACTCAAATTATTACGCCTTCTTCGTCTTCTTCTTCTCTTCAAAACTATTTTTCTAAGAAAAGAAAAATCGATGAAACTTTTGAGTTAGGTAAGTACCTAAGTGTTGTTATTATTAATATTTTAGATTCTGAGCGTAGCAAAAAAATGTATTGATTTTACAATGATGTGTTTTTTTTTATTATTTTTTTTTTTTTGAGTCTGTCATCACATTTCAGAACAGTAAAAATGCTTTTATTTTATTCAATAGTACTTTTTCTGATAGGATTATTTTGGTTTTGGTATAACTAAAAGAAATGACCGTAGATATATGAAATTTTGTCTGAATATTTATATTAGTATTTTATGTAAGTACACCATAAGATTTTCAAAATACATATTTTGATATATTTTGAGCTGTTTATGGACATTTTCTGTTTCCAATTGTTTTATGTTTTTTTCTTTAGATGTCTATACAATTTTATTTGTTGGGTAAAAAATCTTGAAAATTTAATACAACGCTTCTGATATATTGTTGCAATAATAATTGAAAAAAAATATTAAAAATACATAGGCAAACATATTTTTTTATACGCATTTCAAGTTCAAATATTGGCAAGACACGTAAAAATCACGAAAATATGCAAATTATTTATAGATAAAGATACTTAAAAATGTCACTGAATGTTTATATTCTCATTTTCTATACACCATACAATTTTAAAAATATTTTGACACTTTTTGAGCTTTTTACGGATCATTTCAAATTTAATTTTTTTTTAGTTTTTTTCCTATAAATACCAATAAATTTTTATTTGTTGGGCCCAAAAGCTTGAAAATTTAATACAAGGCGCCTGATATATTGTTACAATAACAATTGAAAAAAAATAATTAAATATTATTAATATAATAAAAAATTATTACATATTAAAATCAATATTAACGATTTTGGTTATTTTGTTGTAATTTAAAAATATTATTCGTGCAATTGGAAATTTACCAAATAATACAAACATATTAAAAAATTAGGAGTGTCTGTTTCAACCAGTTGTGGAGATCAACGAAATGGTTCAAATTTGGTGGATAGTATTAAAAACATTCCAGGTAAATTATAAATCATAGGTATTATTATGGATTTTAATTTTTATGTTTTCTAAATAAATTAAATTTTGCATACAATTTAGAAGTGTCTGTTTTAACCAGTTGTGATGATGAGGGAAATGGTTCAAATTTGTTGGATAGTATTAAAAACATTCCAATGATACCAAATGATTTGGTAGAAAACCAATGTAAGAACATTTTATAAATGTATTTTCATTTGAGAATTCTGTCAATAAATTGTATTTTAACATTTTGTTTTAGTGCTTAAATTTGGAAATGATCCAGCAATCTTTAGTCATGTCAAAAAACTAAGTCCTGAATTTGTTGATCATTTTTTTAAAATTGGAGCAGCACAACCAACTGCACAAGAATTGGAAAATAGATGTTTTCCAAAAGACTCCCATGGTCGATCCTTCCATGAAAATTGGTACTGGAAGACAATACCCAATGGTGAAGTTGTACGTAGAAAATGGTTATCATATTCTTTGACTAAAAACAAATTATATTGCCTATTTTGTGCTTTATTTGGAAATAATTACAAAACAAACTGGGGAAAAGAAGGCTTTTGCAACTGGAAAAATGGAATACTAAAAATAGTTGTTCATGAAACTTCTGAAGCTCATATAATGGCATCTCTTAAAGCAACGTGTAAAGAAGCAGCTTTTCCTTTAATCAAATCATTAAACGAAAAAAAGAATGCAAATATTGTTTTTAATAAACAAATTATACATCACTTAATTGATATTACCTTGTTTCTTGGGAGGCACTGTCTTCCATTTCGTGGCCACAGAGAAGGGTGGAATGAAAAATTAACGGGAAATTTTAAAGATTTAGCTTTACTGTTGGCTAAATATTCTCCAGCGTTGTCAGCATATATTACTGAAGTTAAATTAAAGGGAAGAAAAACTAGCAATTTTTTGTCATGGCAACGCCAAAATCAATTCATTAATGCTATTTCTACAAATATTAAAAATACTGTACAAAAAGAAATTTTAAATGCAAGGTTTTTTAGCATATCGTTAGATACAACATTTGATATATCCAAAAAAGAACAAGTATCTGTAGTGATTCGGTATATTAATAAAGACTCAGAAAATTGTACAGTGAATGAAAGACTAGTAGCTGTACGAGAAACTGTGATGACTACAGGACAACAACTTTTTTTATTAATCGAAGAAATATTTAAAGAAATGAACATTGATTGGAAAACACATCTTATAGGCCAATCTTATGATGGAGCGGCATCAATGAGAGGTGTGTACAATGGTCTCCAGGCAATAATAAAACAACAAAATCCTTGTGCAACTTATGTTTGGTGCTGGGCACATCGATTAAGTCTTGTTATTGTAGATGCTGTTAGCAGTTGTACTGAAGCCAGAGATTTATTTGGTAATTTAGAAACTCTCTATGATTTTATCAGTAGTAGTAAAAAACGAATGAGTCTATATTCTGAATACCAAACTAAACGTTATCCTGGTAAACCTTTACGTAGGTTGAAAAGAGTCGACACTACGAGATGGTCATCACATTCTACTGCACTGCAAACTTTATTTTACACATATGACTCAATTTTAGATACATTGAACTACTTGCAAAATGACATTTCTTCAGATCGAATATGTTGTGTAAAAGCTAAAAGTTTATATGAATATATGTTATCAGAACGCTTTGTTTTAACTGCGTTGACATTCAAAAAAATGTTTGATATTACTAGCCCTTTGAGTTCATTTTTGCAAGGAAAAAATATTGATTTACTGGCCGCTGTTTCATATGTGAAAAGTGTTGATAAAAAAATTCTAACACTCAGAAGTGAAACGGAATTTCAAGTCTTGTTGAAAGAAAAAGAAGAATTTATAACATCAAAAAATGATGAGTTTGATATTACTCCTCTTATTCAAACTCGCGTGAGACGTAAAAAAGTTATGGCCGGAGATATGGCATTAGATGAACAGCCAAGTCAAAATCCAATTCAAAATTTTAAAATCAACACTTACATCACTATTATAGACATTATTAATACTCAACTATCAGAGAGGTTTAATGAAAGTTCAATACCTTTGATCAAAGATTTAGCTCTTTTTCAAAAGAAACGATTGGTAGAAATAACAAAATCAGGAAAAATTCCTGCTGATGCATTTAATGGTTTCGAACAAGTATATGGGAAATTTATAACTGCAGCAGATTTAAGAAGAGATTATATCCAATTTGCAAGTGTTTATATGGAATTAGAAAAATCTGTAACCCTACCAAACAAATAACACAAACAAAATCAAGACATTACAGATGTACTCTATTCTGATACAGAAAATGAACAAGATAGTGACGATGATAATTTTCACAGTGAAAATGTAGGAACTATACACACATTATACAATGTATGCTGTAAGACAGGATTAAATGATGTATTTCCTGCACTATACATAGCTCTTAGCATAGCTCTAACACTACCAATATCAAGTGCTTCGCCAGAGAGAGCGTTTTCAAAATTAAAGCTGATCAAAACACGTCTTCGAAGTACTATGTGCGAAGATAGGCTTGAAGGACTGATGATAATGTCTTGTGAAAAGGATGTTCCTGTTGATCCAGACAACATTATAAATGAGATGGCATCATACAGTTCAGTCTTAACAAAACTGTTAATTTAATTTTATGATTTAATAATATGCAATAAAATATAATTTGTTATCTATCGACTATCATTATAATTATTAATATTATTTGTTATTCTTTAATTAATTAAAACCTAAAATATATAGCATTTGATTACTATTTACTATTTATTTTGTTTGCATACTATTATTCAGTGATTTATTTGTTTCTTTATATTACTATAAAACAGGACATGGTCTAAAATCAACAAAAATGTATTTCGTGTACCTAGTTGGCTAGTTAACTTATAACTAAGAGTACTTGATATTTTCCAAACGCTTTATACATTGGATTGGATGGCTGTACCAACACGTAGTTTGCGGTATGGTATGGAATACGGGGTGTGAAAGTTTATTAAGTGAAAAATAAGAGGAGTAATAAGAGTTCAAAATAAAATATTAATCTCAAACGCGGTATGGCATATTTAAGAGTGTTGTGTGGGGGGCAAAGCCCCCCACGAGTTTGGTTTGTGTACGGGGGTGGTGGTCCATATAACTTTTTAAAATCAACAGCCCACCTTCTTAAAATATGGTTCGGCGCCACTGGTTGCTCCCCTAAGTGGGCTCCACCTTGTCAGGT